TATCTGCAGCTGGAAACTTAATCGTAAAGTACATAGCATCAGAAATAAGGGAGGCAGGCTATTTTGCTGTCATGGCTGATGACACTCGTGATGTTAGCTCATATGAGCAATAAAATTTTTTTACTTTAGACGCACCCTAAATATTAAATAATAAAAGGCTAGTAATTATAATTTTAAAGAGATATATTTGGCTCAATTCTAAAAATCTATAGAATTATATTTTAATTCATGAAAAATATTTATGTATAATAATTATATAAAATATTATAATATAATCATTACAGTATATTTTTCTCTTAAGTTATAAAAAACTAATTATGCTAAATTATAATAAAATTAAATTTACATTTAAAAAATGTATATATAAGCTGCAAAGATACATTGCTTATTTTTTTTAACAATTTGGATAATCTTATAGATTTCAAGGCAAAATGTGTTATAATATCATCAATCTTAAATTTTTCAAAAAGATCAATTATGCTGGATATAGTAAATTTACTAAATAAAGGTATGAAATTTTATATCGTGTTCTAGTTTTGTTTTTTTTAATTTGCTCATAGCTCTTTAGGTTGAATAGAAAGTATAAGGGAGGGTTGATATATAATTATATGATAAATTTAAATAAGAATAAGAATAAGAATCCAATTGATTTAAAAGTAAATATGGTAATTTAAAGAATATTTTAGCCATTTTTTTAATTTGGTGTTGATATTTTCTTTATAGCTTGATCATTTTAAATCATTCATTAATGGCTAATTATTGCTGTAGTATAGAGAAAAAAATTAACCTTATGTGTGCATTTCAATATTTCTCACTGCAGAGGTATCATTTGAACGAAATTTTTTTTCGGCCTGGCCCGGGTTTTATTCTTCCAGGCCCAGCCCGGCTTTTTTTAAAAATTTTCAGGCCTGGCCCGGATTTTGAAAAATATGATTTTTATAGCTATTAATGGCGATTTCAAATATAAAAAAAATTTCAGCACCCACCCCCCCCCCTGGTATTTTTTAAAAAAAATTTCAGGCCCGGCCCGGAAAGTGGATTGTTAATCAACAAAAATAATATTTCAGAGATCACAAAATCTACCAACCATACAAATAAAAGTTAGGCATATATATATATACTACAAATTCAAAAATGTTTATTTAACTTTATACGTACAATAATTTTTTAAATGTTTTTCTTATACTTTCTTACATTTAGAAAACATCTATTTTAGCTTTACAAACATCTACTGATATTCCCACAATTGCTAGAGAGTTCAACCTATATTGACTCCTTCTGCAGGTTCAGTGCAATATTTTATAAATATTTCAATTTGTTTTTATTATAGAATACAAGTCCTGTCTTAACCCTTTTTAATGATTGTACAAATTTTGATTTATCTGCCGTAAAGAAGAAGATGACTGGATAATCAACAAAATAAACGTTCCAAAGTCACAAATCCAAACAAATTCTACCAACCATATAAAATAAAGATATTCGCTTCTCTTTTTTTTCTTTTCCTTTTCTTTTTTATTTCCCTCTTCTTTTCCTTTTTCTCTTCTGTTTTGCACATTTCCCTTTATCTTTCCATCTCTTTCCTCCTTTCCTTTCCTATCCTTTCCTTTCCTTTCCTTTCCTTTCCTTTCCTTTCCTTTCTCCTTCTTTCCCTTATCTTTTTTCTATCCTTTTTTATTCCTTTCTCATTTTTCCTTCCCTATCTATTTTTCTCTTCTCCTTTTGCTTTGCAATTCTTTCCCCTTTTTTCCTTTTTCTTTCCCCCTTTTCCCTTTTCTTTCCCTTTATCTTTTCTTTTCTTATCCCTTCTCTTTTCATTTCCCTTTCATTTACCGTTTTTTTGCTATTTTCTCTATTCTTTTTTTTTTACCTATTCCTTTTTTGACTTCTTCTTTTCCTTTATTTTATTTTCTCTATTCCTTATCTTTTTATCTTTCTTTACCTTCCCCTTTTTCTTTTCATTCTTCCTTTCCTTGCCCTTCTTCTCTTCCCACTTTCCATTTTCCTTTCCCTGTTCTTTCACTTTCCCTTTATCTTTTCCTTTCCCTTTAATTTACTTTCACTTTTTCTTTTCCATTACCTTTTTCTATCCCTTAACCCTTATCTTTACCTTTTAATTACACTTTTCTCTTTCCCCTCTTTTCCTTTTAATTTCCTTTCCATATTTCTCTTTCTTTCTATTTTCCTTCCTTTTTAATTTCGCTCTTATTACTTCCTTTTTTTCCTCATTTCCATTCCCTTCTCCTTCTCCTTTCCCTTTCTTTTTCCTTCCCTTTACGTTTTTTCTTTTTATGGCCCTTTTTACTTTTTAATTTTTTCTCTTTTAATTTATATATTTCTTTCCATTTTTCTTCTCCCCTCTATATTCCTTTTTCTTTCTCTTTTTTTTCCTTTTCCTTCCCTTTAAATTTCAGTCATTACTTTTCCCTTTTCCTTTCCTTTCCTTTCCTTTCCTTTCCTTTCCTTTCCCTTCTCTTTTTTTTTCTTTCCCTTCTAATTTCTCTTATTATTTCTCTTTTTTTCACTTATCCTTTCTTACCTTTTACAATTTTCTTTCCTTTTCCCTCTTCCCTTTTTAATTTCCTTTCAATATTCCTTTTTCTTTCTTTTTTCCTTCCTTTCCCTTTTAATTTCTCTTTCTCCTTTCTCCTCGTTTCCTTTTCCTATTCCGTTCTCTTCTCCTTTCCTACCTTCCCTTTTAAAGGAGGAAACTCAAATTTATTAATAAAATTAATCATATATTTTAACCTCTATATTTTTAGAAAATTACCAAATTAGAGCAATATTAATCTTTAATTGTGAAATTGGAAAATATTAATTTAATGCTAAAAAAATAAATAAAAATGATTAAAATTCAAAAAGAAAATTGTTTTGGTTGACAGATTTCTTTCTTTAATTTTTATTTGTCAGAATACAATCAATGATAAACATCATAATTGTATAAAATATTGGATTTAAAAAAATTATAATTCAAGTCAAAAACGACCCCCCCCAAAAAAAAAAATATCTACCTTCCAAAATGCGAATATATTTTGGAGACATTTGTCTCTTACATACCCCTTCTCCTTCCTGGTCATTTAGACACTGTTCGGTGCCCTTCTTAAAAATTTATATGATTAGAAATATATATTTTATTTGAAAATATACCATTAAAAAGATTTAAAACTAGTTAGATTACAAATAGATCAATTATATACTTTCTAGAAAGCATAATTTAGTCCCATCTAATGGATAGTTTCTAAAACGAGGGTAAAATGAACTAAAATAAGTTGTATTAATATATTTTTTTTATATATATTCTTACCGATATATATTCTAATAAAATACAATTGGCCTAAGCTAGGTCCGCTTTGGCGGTAAGCAAAAAAGAGAATCTGCCAAAGATTCAAATTAAATTAATATTTGCTGAGTTTGGATAATACATCCGCGAAGATATTCATTATGATAAATTAAAAAATTTCTATACTGGATACTTGTGTAATATTATTGGACATTAGATATCAGAGTTTATTCCAGATACATATATATCAAAATATAGAAATAGGAATGCGGGATATATAATATTTTCAAAAGATACAGCCCGAAAATGAAGAAATAAAATATTTATCGTGATCGGTAACTATAAATTCAATATGATATTTACTGTATTTTGCATTTATAGCGGCTAAATCGTGATCACGATCGCAATCACGTTACTATCAATTCGCAATAATAATTAAAATATGCCCGCTTATTTTTTAAAAGCGAGAAATTATTATAAGTTATATTAATAATAATAATTTTATATTCAATTATTTTAAACCAGAATCTTCTTAAGGCCCCCAATTTTTTTGGAGCAAGTAATCAATATTTCCTGCAGTTTTATTAATCGCTGTCATTTTAATTTTTATTATTTTCAAACATAGGTTTTCCTAGATAAAATAGCAACAATTTTTTTGAAGCGAGTAATTAATTTTGAGCAGTAAAATTTATCCCTGTCATTTTAATCCCAAAACATTTATATTCATTAAAAAATGGCTGCCAATATTTTTGAGAAGAAAAATATATTGCAGCAGTCATTAACCAATTCAGTCATTTTACAACGGCCATGACTGTTGTGAAATGACTGTCTTTAGTAAAATGACAGCAATTTTTAACAGTATATCGGTTAAAAACTTTGCTAAAAATGGAGCTATTTCTACCGATACTTATTGGTGGCAAACCTCACCTTATACTATAAATAAAGCAGGAATTACCATTTAATTAAATGCTTATTTTATTAATAAGTCTTCTTTTTTTTAAAAAAATGCAGAATCAAGGAAGGAATTTGATAAGAATATTTTTATTCTATTTTATTGAGAAAATCAAAGATAAAAACATTTAGAATGGAGTTATTTAATAATTTTTCGTTTTGTTTTGAGAGTAAAGCATTTGAGTTAGATTCTACATTTATATTATAATTGGGCGGAAATACATGTATAATAAAATTAATTATAGTAGGAGATATAAATTTATGGTCATAAACCCGGTCGAAGGTCGGGAAAAAGTTGGACGAACCTTGAAAGGGGGAGAAGGGTATGGGAAGAACAATAAACCCATGTACTTTTTTAAAATCAGTTAGCTCCTTTTAGCACCCCATTTTATAAAAGCTAGCCGCCCCCAATGTTAAGCCTTGAATTTGAACAAATGTTTGGATAGAAAATTAAAGACCGTGTGATAGCATGAAGGGATAGTGGCTCAACGTAAAAGTGCGATATTGTATGATCTTGAAACAGATGACATAATAAAAAACTAGTATGCAGCAATGGAAATTCCAGTAACTATGACGGGACATAGATTAATATTATATTATTTAATTTTTTACATATTTATGTATTAAATAAATTCGTTATCTTAATAATTTTTAAATATCTACCAAAATCTCACCATGTGTTAATTACAACTTATTTTTATTTTATTTAAAAATATTCTTCTTATCTAAGTGCTATTTCAATTTATGTCAAACATAATTGATTGTTTTATGTCATCTAACTTTATAGGGCACAATATTCTATGTAAATATCAATGAGCGAGCTTCAAGAATTGTTAAATTATGTCACGAACTGTTTAAATTCGTATGGATTATGCGTATTAGACAATTTTTTGGGCTATATATTAGCCAAGGAAGTCCAAAAAGAAGTGAATAGTATTATTAATTTGCAACCCTTTGTAGAGGGACAAGTTCTTTCAACAAACCCTTCTATTAGAGGTGATAAAATTACCTGGGTTGAAGGCGACGAAAAATATTGTTATTTTATACGCAATTATATCAAAAAAGTTGATAGCATTGTATATGAATGTAAAACTGATTTAGCCAAGAATATAAGTGGAAGAACTAAGGTATAATTTTTTATGTTTTTTTTACAACTTATATTTTAGGCTATGATATCCATATACCCTAGAAACGGGACCAAATATCTAAAACATGTTGATAATCCCTATAAAGATGGTAGATGCATTACCACAATTTATTATTTGAATAATGATTGGGATCGTGAGGTACTCTTAATATAATTTAAAATTATTTTTTATTTAAATCATAGAGAGATGGTGGTTGTTTAAGATTGTACCCCTCAATGATAGATGCAGAACCCATCATTGAGCCTATGTTTGATAGACTTATTTTGTTTTGGTCAGATAGTAGAAATCCCCATGAAGTAGAACCATCTTTTAGAACCAGGTTTATATTATAGATTATGACTTTTTCTTCTTATTATTTAAAATATATTCAATATCATATCTTCCCTTATTTCTTTAAATATGATGTATAATGATATAGAGTAATTAATTCAATCTTTATCATTTAATTAAGGTTTAAATTATATATCAAGAGACTTTTAATTTAGGCAAGACATTTGAGATTTGTATTGTCTATAGTAGACTTGTGCTAATTTAATATATGCCAATCTTGATTTAGCCTAAAGGGTTTGAATATTTTTTTTTACAAACCTTGACTGAATTGAAATGAATGAAACTTATAATATAACATTTAATATTAATTTTTAAAACTTCTTAAAGCTTATATAAAATGCAATATATAATTATTTTTATAAAATTTATCAATATTATTTACCAATCAATATCTTCATTCCTTTCATAGAGTAGCCAGCATGCATGGAATTAACATTTATTGGAAAAGAATTTTTAATTATGTAATATGTTTTTCTTCACAAAAAAAACAAAAATTATAAAGGAGACTCTTATACTGAACTTACATAACTTTATTAAACAGTCAAATACATTTGTTGAAAAATTATGATAAAACATTGAAATAATTTTTATTTCCAAATTGACTCACAGTATAAATCAAAATGCACATACAAAAATTAAATTTAACTTTTTAAAATATTTTCACAAGGAAAAACTTGGTTAATGATGCTTACTACCTTAAAGTATTACCTATCAAATTTGTATTTTGTTTATTTTTCATTTGAATAGGCACTACCAAATGTATTTTTAATATATATTTGAAAAATCATGATTTTTAAAAAACGTCTGTGGCCTAGTCGGCAAGAGTGTTGCTTACAATCTGATGGTTATGGGTTTGAATCCCAACAATGATCATATTTTCTTCTTAATCTAACTTGGTGGTTCCATCCTTGGGGCACGATATATGGGAAGCCGGACTCGACCACATTATTCCGTTATGATATATGTTAAATAATAAGGGTCTTATTTTAATAAATTTTGATATTTGGTAGTATGTATCAAGTAAAAATTGTAAAATCATGATTCATTCGGTACTACCTTTGGTAGTAAGCATCATTAACCGAAAAACTTATTGGATACTTATGAATAATTTGGAGTAATACAAAAAATTACCTTTATTTGTATTTGTATCAAATAATTTGTTTTAGATATATTTTTTCCAAGTATTGAAATATTCTATTTATAATATAAAATGTAAAACCCTTTTGAAAACCAGTAAATCAGATTATGGTAAGACAGTTTAAGTTTCAAGAATATTCTTCAAAATAAATTTATTGATTGCATTCTTTTATAGAAACATATTCCTTTATCATTATTTTGCTACAACTTTACTCTTGAGTGAAGTAGTTGTGATGATTAGAATTTAGGATTTTACCCACAGTCAAAAAATTAATAATTTGCAAATCTATAATAAAATTTATTTGAAAATATCATAATTTTTTTCTTCTTTTTAATTAAAAAAAAAGTATTTTATATTGTTATTATTATTTTCTATTAGGTTCGCTATAACGGTATGGTATTTAGATGAAGATGAAATAAAGACATCGAATCAAGAATGCAAATACCAAATAATTAAACGAGAATAAATGATAATTTAAACGAATTGTGCATAATACAAACCAAAAATATCATTATCATCATGATAATATTAGGGAAGAATTATAATATTAATCTATCTGTGATATAGAAATATAAATGTACGAGTTCGTAAGATTAGACGATTCTGATTCTGAGATTTATTTATTTATAATATTAATTAATATATAATTTTAATCACAGTGTGCGCAATTACCTAATTATATTATATACACAAGCTTCAAATAGCGCCAAAAATAAATTTGCAAGTCAAAGATTTAAAAAAAAATTATGATAAATTATTATTTTAATATTTATATTATATAAAAATATAATTTATTATGAAAAATAAACATTTAGGCCGTGTCTTGGACTCTACATTTTTCTTGATAAAATTTTTAATAAATTGTTCTGATCAGAATAGGGATTTTTGGATTTAAATCAATAGGAATAGCACACTTTAAAAGAATATTAAATATCACAATCTTATGTCAAAATCGTTGTCTAAAAAAAAATATCTCAAAAAATAGTGTCCAAACTGCCGCGTTTTAGCTTGATTTAATTTTTTTCTTAATTCTTATTTATAAAAATGATGCTAGAACTAGGACACCCTATCGGCAAATCATAAACGAAAATAATTCGTTCGTTAACAAAAAAAATCGTAAAACCATATTAAATAAATTAAATCTTTGAAAAGTTTATTTTCGAGGGCAAATTTATTTGTAGAATATTGTATTATAAATTCCTAATGAAAAAAAGCATAGAGTAGGAGTTTTTTATGATTTTAACAATAAATCTTTCGTATCAGATCGTGTTATATATATTTTATTTAAAAAATCCGATATTTTTTGAGATTCTTATGATTTCCCTCAGGCGTATTCTGGTGGGGTCCTAAATATTTCGGATTTGGCTTGAACCTCGTCATTATTTTCATCATCTTTTCCGACACCCAAATCTTTGCCTTTTTTTAATTTATCTATCTTCAATGGTTTGAATCCTTGTTGAATATCTTCTTAATTTTTTAAAAATAAATAAATAGAATAATCATTATAGGATCTTAATCATATCATTTTTTCAATTTTAAATAGGGCTGCAATGCTGCTAAACGGTTCGATTTAGCCAATTTTAAATAATGATTTTAGCCATCTTAAGGAGAACAAACATCAAAACTCGAAAATATTTATAAAATTTAAAAAAAACTATGAATATTACTTAAATGGCTCTTTTAGTATTTGGATAACTTAATAAGATTTCTCAGGACCTAAATTCTTAATGGTAAAAGGAGGGAAAAAAATTAAAGAAAGTGAATCAGAGTTTTTCTGTATATGTAGTGGTGTAAAAAAAACTGTTTTATGCAAATATAAAAAACGGGGTGGGGAGGGGAGTGTTAAACAAAAAACATGATTAAAATTATCAACAAAATATTAGTATATTATATTTAAGATTTGTGATAAAAAAAAATTATTCTTAAAACTCCGATTTCTTTGATCCTTTAGATATTAGTCCATTTGGACCCTGGTGAAATCTAAAAACCAGGCCCTTCTTTCAAAATATAAGTACCTACAGTTGCCATCTCTCCAAAAATTGCAACTAATGTATATCAGAGACCTTTATGGGCTTCTACTTTTTAATCTGGCCCAAGCCCGCATTTAATATTTTTAAAAAAGTTTCAAATTTTGCCCAGGCCCGTCAACCCATTTTTATATCATTTTGATAAGAATAATATATATTAAATTTTAATATATAATTTCAAACTATCATTTAAAATAATATGTTATCAACAAGCTGTTTAAATTTGTCCTTCATTGTTTATACAAAAACCCTTCCAATAGTGCTGAAATTGTATTCACTGGAAGCATTTGATGTTGGAATAACATTTGGCTAATTTAGGTTAAAACAAATCATGCTTCTTTCACCACTTTTGATTTTAGCTGTACAAAACAATTGATTAATTTCGTCCAAAACATCAAAAAATTTAATTTATATTGTATTCAATGAAAATAAACAATAATTTATTGTATTTAGACAATCATTTTATTTGCAATACTTAAATTTATTATTAGAAAATCGCAATATTTTTTTTATGTTAGTAACTGTTTTAAATAAAAAGATGACAAGAAACGGAGTTTACTACAAATATAAACAGAAGATAACGGCTACGTATAAATAATATTATTGAAATTATAATGTTTTGTTATATTTGTCCTATTAGATATTCTTTAAATAAGCTAAACTGAAATGAAAGTCTTTTTTAGTCCCAAGCCCATTTATTTTTTTTAAACCAAGACCGATAGACCCATCCCAGACCCATTTTCTGGCCAGCCCTGCCCATGAAGGTCTGATGTATATATAATTGTTAAATTTTTGGCAATTCATTTTAGAAGACTTAATAATGTTTAAATTTAACAGAGCCTGAGCCCGGAAAAACGAGAACCATTTTTTGTAGGAACCAGAACACTTATTTTTTTACTCCTGCTTGAAGTATAATCTAGAATCTCTAAAATGGATGTCTGGCATTAAAGTAAGATTGGACAACTATATTAGGATACATAGGGATTTCTACATCCACCTAAGTCAATTACGCCTCCCAAATCAAAATTAGCAAAAAACAGGACATTCAAATCAAATATATCTCCTCCCCCTTCCAATTTTTTAGTCAATTGACAATAGGGTCTTCATAACTTTTTACCCCCTTACAATTTCAATGAAGTCAATAATAATCTCCCCCTTACAATTTCAATGAAGTCAATAATAATCTTGCTTCAGAACCCCTTCCCCCCCCACCATTCTGATAGAAGTTCCCTGAGGTTAAAAAAGAGCACAAGTATCAGATAGGTAGATAATTTTATTTAAATTACTAGACCTAAGATTTAAAAAAAAAGAGAATCCTGTCACCATTTAAAATTAAATTAGTAGCAATTTAATTTTTTTTTATTTAAAAAAAGCTCACTATTTAAAGACTTAGCATAGAAAATTCTAGCTATATTTTCGAATATTTCTTTGTCCATCTCTGTTTCGCTAGTGGCACATCTCCTTCCAGTCGAATTTTTTAAGAGGGAATTGTAATGGTCGGCAATTTCCTTATCTAATAATGTATCTTGGGGAGTAAATGGTGCCTCGTAAAAATCCATCGCACCGAAAAATCGCACCATCAATAACAGAGTGCAACAGATCCAGAATAAGGAAGTCAACCAGGAGGCTACCTATTGTTTTTTTTGGTATACAAAGAGAAAATAAATCCTAGAATATGGATTACTGATCTCTTTTGTTCCATTTCTCTGCTTGCTGAAATTTTAAAAATTGTATCAATTATTATACCAGTTAAAAAAGACGGATATAGTGATGCAAAATTGCTCCATTTAAGCCGATTTTTAAAAAGGGCTAACTCAATAATTATCCATAAAAAATAATTTGCTCATAGATAACACAAAGGTTTAAGCATCTATTAGATAAATCTCGAGGCTTAGGCAATATTTTTCTGATTAAAATATAGAGTTATTCATATTTAAAAATCGGCTCAAAAAGCGAATGTGCATCACAAGTAGCACATGCGGGACAACATTCATCAATTTCTCATATCTTCAATTTTTTCCCTGAAGAAATCATTTATACAAAATATAGCCAAAATTATTTTAAAACCCAGGGCCGGGTTTTAAATGACAATTAGAAATCTGGGCTAGGTTTGAAAAATGGAAATTTTCTTAAATCCAGCCAAGTAAAATCAATAAATCTAAAGTTCAAATTCATTAAAACTTAAATATAGAGGCAAATAAAAAAAAAATCCGGCTTACATATTAATACGCCAGGAGTAGTGAAGGGCGTTTACTTGGAAGAATTTTTAGCCCCCCCCCCCCCCCTTACAATTTGAAAAAGAAAAAAAGTTACTTCAAATCTAATGTTATTCTAATTGTCATAATTTTTTTCTCTCCCTCCAGATTTTAAGAATAAATTTATATGTGGTTATGTTATTTAATATTCCCTTTTTCTTATTTCACTTTTAGATAAAAAAAATATAAATTCAACTTTTAGTCAATTTTTGTTTATTTTTAAAGTTTTTCTGTTTTTATAATATTTTTATCGGATTATTGTGGGTTTAATTAATATAATATTTTATGATTAATTTTTAAAAAAGGAACCAAAACTTACAAAAACGAACCTGATAAAAAATTTCTAAACCGAAATGAATCGATATAAATCTGTTGAGAAATAGAGAAAATGGAACTAACCCTTTCTTACACTAGAAACCGGAATAAAAATTAACCTAATGTTGTTAAGGGGCCCAAAATATTATTACCTAAGCCTCGAAATTTCGCCGATAGATGTCCAAATCATCCCGCCATATGCGAGAAAAATCTCCAAGCGATAATTCACTCTTGGCCTAAACATTACATTTATAAAAATTGGCTAAATCGGGCCACTTAACAGCATAAAACTGAACCGTTATTGCCTATCGGATCGACATGCTACTTAAAGTGTATCATTTTGAACCAATAAAGTATTGTTTTAAACTTAACTAATATCATTTTAAATCCTTACATATATGAAAAGCTCATTTCTGTAAAAACGAAATTGGGACTACAAGTTCCCAAGAAACAACCATAATAATTATATTTTAAATATGGCCTATATTTTTTAAAAAAACTTAAAGTTGCGCTTTGCATAATATCCAAGGGGAGAGATAAAAATTGGTATAAAAATACGAATTCGAATTGATATTTTCTGTAAAGAAGACTCTTGTAAATTTTAATTAAGGATTTACCTAAAAATCAAGATAGTGAAAAACCATCTGCCCTAGGATTATAGTTTGATGATAAATTAGTATGTTACAGAATGTTTGGTATACGGACCATCGTTAGACCACAGCTAATTATTGAATTAATAGCTGCATGTCATGCATATCTACCCTGTGGGTTTATATATATATATATATATATACAATAAAGACTAAGTCTCCAAAACCAATTTTTTTATATATTATGCATGTAGTTGAATGGGTCACATCCACTTTGCAGGTGTTAAATGATATATTTCACGTTTTAAAATGATACATAAAATTTTTAAGATACAAGTTAGAATTGATATTTTAAGAGGTAAAATAGTATATATATTTTTTTTAAAAAACCTCCGCGATTTGCAAAAAGTTATAAAATTGCCCCATTTTCTTTGAGTTCAAAATATGTTGTTCGTTGTTAATCCATATGAAATTTTGTACTTCACGGCATCTGTTTTCCGCCCACCCAATAGATGATATTTTTTATCAAAA